GCACTGTGTTGCACGGTGAGGCCTTGTGGAGCTTCGGGAACTGAATTCGGATTTTCTGGGAACAAAATATCAAGGTCCAAAACCCAATCGTGTTCCACCAAACCTACGTTGTGACTGGGTAGTCCTTGCTGCGCTTCCCTAAGGTAAATGAGCCTTTTTATTTCAGGAGCCAAAATAATGCAGAAGTTCAGTTTCCTGGTAATCAAGCATACAAGCAACATCACACAGATATTTCTGTATCTATCTAAGTCAGCAGAATGTCTTAGCTTTTCCCCCTCCCTTTTCCCTCCAGCAACACTGCGTGCCAATAACCACCACTGCTTTAATAATAATAATATGCTTTGCCAACTTTGGCAGTAGATTTGAATCTTAATGTATGGAGGGAATGGCTGGAGAATGCAAACAAAAGCAAGCGTTCATGCTACCCATGAGATGTTTTAGAATCTAGCTGATGATGCGGATTTGCTTTCCTCATTTGGGCCCAACATTAATGCCAAACATTATTGTGGAGTCCTGTAGCTCAGTGTTTAGAGCACTCGCCTCACAAGCGAGAGATCTGGGTTCGATTCCTGGCAAGGCAAAATGTTTCCTTACTCCACTGTTTACTAGCAGTAAATAGGAACCCAGTTGTTAGTCGATTGGCAGATCGCTTTTCCAGGGGTGATAATTCCTTCCAAATAAAACAATAATAATAAATTGGTCACTCAATCCACGACTGTTTGTGGGACGCTGCTGTGCACAATCAGCTGCCGCGTTTCGCCCACAATCTATACAGTCAATTCACTTTACAGTATATTTTGTGAAGCGCTTTGAGACTTCTCGAAGATGTGATAAGGCATTATATCAAATGCAAGGATTATTATTCCTTTCCTGAAATGCAGCACTTTCATCCCATCAGTCCAACCTGGATTCAAGTCCAGATCTGAAGGGAGAGGATAGAATTGCAAACCAACATAACACTGTAAAATAGGTGGCAGTCTGACTCAGTTGGTAGCACTCTTACGTCTGAGTCAGAAGATGGTGGGTTAAACCAAAATCACGTTTGCCTGTTGGACAAAAGTGGACAAAAAAGACTCCATGACACTGCTCACCAAAAAAAAGGGGTTTCTCCCAGTGTCCTGGTCAACAATCCTGTGGTCGATGATTGATTTCATGGCTGTTTGTGGGGTATTTCTGTGCACTAGTTGGTTGCCACATTTGTCTACAAAATACACAGTCACTACACTTTACAGGAGATCTTGCAAAGCACTTTGAGATGGTTCGATGACGAGTGACACATGCAAATATGTATTATAATGTAGATAAGGAACAACATTCTTGCATTACAAAGAGAAATACAAAGAGAAAATCAAACAGACATCAGCAAGTATGAGTCAGGCTGACCCTTTCCATTCAATGCGCTAAATTTGGAATTTTGACCTTTCCAGACAAATATTGCTGCGCTTCATAATATTCTCGGTTCAACGGCAGGGAAAATACAGTGCGTTTGATTAAAGACCATCACCAAACCAGTTGGTGCGGAATGAGCCATTCCATTTCCCTCATAATTGAGTGGCAAACTCACCAGTGTAGTACAGATCCTCGATCACTCATTGCTCTCATACGCAATACTGTGTGTCAATAGTGCACAACACAAAAGCCTACAGCGTGTACAACAGCTTCAGGGCAAACTGGGGATCCCCCCCACCCCCCGCCAAAAAAAAATTGCCGAAGAAGAAAAAAATAATTGAAGGCGATTTTTGTGCAGCGAGAAAAACAAAAACCTACATCGTCCTGTAACTGTTGCTCAGAGGCATGTGAGATAAATTGATGGCTTCACTAATCCATCGCTATGCCAACCAATGCACAAAGAGTAAGTAATGCACTGTGAAGGAAAAACTGATTTCCTCTTCCAATCGCCATGGTGACTCGAGCCGTTATATAATTGTCATGACAACCAACGTGCGCGGGTAAAAAAAAAACACCTCAAAGAGAAAAAGCTATCAATATCAGAACTCAACCGAATTACTCTGTAAAAATCCCAGGCTCTCTGGCACATCTGAGTTCTTCGATAGTCTCCCGCGCGGAAAAAAAAAAAAGGCTGTTGTTATAGAACTCAACAGCATCGAGGAGCTCTGAATAGTTTTCATTATTTTTAGAACGTAATAATAATAATAATCCTTGCATTTGATATAGCGCTTTTCACGTCGGGAGGACGTCCCAAAGCGCTTCACAGAACACACTGTAAAGTGAGTTGACTGTATATTTGTGGGCGAACGCGGCAGCCAATTGCGCACAGCAATGTCCCACAAACAGTCGTAGATTGAAAATGACCAATTTATTATTGTTTTTGGTTTTGGAGGGATTATTATTAGGCTCTGTGTGGGGTAAGGAAACTTGCCCAAGGTTTCGCCCTCTGCCTGGAACTGAACTCAGGTCTCTCACTTGCAAAGCGAGTGCTCTAACCACTGAGCTACAGGACTCCACAACGTAGTCTTGATCCTGAATCATGATTTGCAAAACAATGAGTACTGCATTACCAGCCCACGCTCGATGTTTCAACAGCTTACGTGCTATATTTGAACGATTTAAACTGCAACTTTTCTATTACTATTATTATTTGTGGCGATGCAGAAAAAAAAATGCACACACCTTTGCGGAACACCGCTGTGCGCAATTACCAGTCGCGTTTCGCCCACAAAATACAGAGTCACTACACTTTACAGTATGTTCTGTGAAGCGCTTTGAGATGTCTCAAAGACATGATAAGGCGCTATACCAAATGCAAGGATTTTTTCCCACACAGATGTGGGTAGCTCAGGTGAGCAGCACATTGAAATATTTGGTTCTTTGACACGTCTTATTCCTTTGGTTCCTTGACAAGGGGCTCAATGAAATGCTTACCAATTATGATCATTCCTAAAGTAGGAATAAAAATGATTGAGTACTATTATGCGGTACAATAGGGGCTGATTGATGAAGAGGTCAGAAGGCAGGGAAATTTACATTTACATCGTGCCTCTCACATCATGAGGATGTCCCATGGCGCTGGACTATTGATGGCCGAAATCAAGGTCAAAGAGTAAGGTCTTGGGATGGACCTTGAAGGAGGCAAAGGAAGGGGAAAGTCAAAGTGACTCCAAGATGGAATTCCAAAGAGAACGCTTATGAAAGTTGTTTCCTTTGTGGAATTTAGGGTTTGATACGCACAATACTTAGGTGGATTTAAACATTTAAGCAACAAAATAGCATCTTAAATGTGTGTGTGTGTGTTTGTGTTGGGGGGGGTGGGTCTATAAGTCAATATTGTTAAATACATTCTTTTCTGGGGACCACCAAATTGGCCAGAGATTGACAGGAATGGCTTTGTCATACAAAAGTGTGAGGCCATTTCTCTGTCCGATTCCATGGACAAATATCCAATTACCAGCTGTGCACATCGATGAGATAGTGATAAACGGTCTATACCTTGGGCCAAATTAGACCCTTTAGTTCAAGTCAAAAATACTGTTGCGTTATGAACAATTGATTGTGACATAATAATAATCCTCTCATTTAATACCCCACCCAAAAAGTCGAAACACCTCAAAATGCTTGACAGCTGACTGCGTTATTACATTACTGTGCGTCTGCAGTCATTTGTGGCAAATTTCCCACAAACAGTCAGAAAGTAACCCAACTTGAACGGGCAGTATAGAAATATAGAGTCAATCCAGTTTACAGTTTGAAGGCGCTTTGAGATGCCTCAACGACATGATAAGGCACTATATCAAATGCAAGGATTATTATTATTTTCATTTCGCCATTCCTGACTGCGCTCCCTCAACTCGCTTTGCTGAAAGGGAATACAAATGCGAATGGAACATTCCATTTCCTGGGGTATAACATACACCAACAAATTACATTTGTATAACGCCTTTCACGTCGGGAGGATGTCCCAAGGTACTGGACCAACCAGGGGTTTGGACCTGAGCTGGTGGGGGGTGGGGGGGAATAATACTTATTAAACTATCGATACAACACATGCCTTTTATTCATTTTTTTGAAAAATGTGGTCGCCCATGACTGCGGGCAATCTCAAGATTAATAATAATAATGTGGTGCTGTTTCACCATTTGCCCACAAAATACACAGTCACTGCCCTTTGCAGTGCATCCCGCGAAGCGCTTTGAGACGTCTCAAAGACGCGATAAGGCGCCGTAACAAATGCAAGGATTATTATTGTTATTATTTCAGCCCAGAGAGAGAGAGAGAGAGAGAAGCCACATTCAACAAACCGGCGAACCTTTCTCCCAGCAAAACGCACACACAGCGACACTCTCGCTCAAATATCCTCTCTCTCTCGCTCGCTCGCTCTCTCGCTGCTCTTTCTTCAGTAGGTCAGTTTGGGTTTCCAGGAGCTAAACCTTGAATGAAACCGTTGCATGATTTGGCTGGAATTCAGTATCCAAGGAGAGGAGGGAGAGAGGGAGAGAGAGAGAGAGAGAGGAGAGGAGAGAAGAAGGGAGATGAGAGGGGATGGGGATGGTCTGAAAGTGTGGGGGTAGGGGGGTGGGGGGGGGTCAGATTTTAGCATCCATTCAGTAATGTCTCTGACACAAAGCAACCCAAAGGATGGGGGAAATAAAACCACCAGCAACTGGTCAGGTCAGGTCCAGGTGGAGCTGGTGATGGAGTGCACTTGGATGATGACTGCGACTGTGCTCCAAAAACATCAGCACCACAAACCTCAGCCAAAGCCTATCCTCAGGTACCAGTGCTCTCTATTTCCCCCTCTGTCTGTCTCTCTGTCTGTCTCTCTGTCTGTCTCTCTGTCTGTCCCCCACCACCAAACTGCTATACAATTGCACACACTTTTCTTCCTGGAGAGAAAGCGCATCAATCTACAAGAGATGAGTTTGGAAAGGCTGTGGGGGTGTGTGGGGGGTGTGTGTGTGTGGTGGGGGGTCCCCTCTCTCTCCAAAGGGGGTCGTTTGCTGTCTGGTCTGTCTGGTCTGGTCTGTCTGTCTGGTCTGACTTACCTCCTGCTTATGTGGCTTCAGACGTGAAGGACTCTCCTGTGGGGGTGTTGCGGGGATCCTGAGCTACGCCTTTGCTATTTATGCGCGTTGTCTTTCAATGATTAGCCCTTTAAATCATCTGCACAGTAAACGCACCCAACTGCCAACCTGGGGATCAGGGCGTTAGAGAGACTGTGGCCAATGATTCCTGGGTTCCTGCAGTGACTCTCTCACACACACACACACACACACAGAGAGAGAGAGAGATGATCTCAGTCCCTCCATCCCTCACCAACCAAAGAAAAACCCCTCTTTTGAGTTTTATGTGATGTCTTGTGTGTGTGTTTGTGTGTGTGTGTGTTTTTTTTTGTTCACTGCTGGTGCCTTCTCCAGGGCTGTCGCCGGCATCTCGGAAACACGAACCCCCCTAACCCCTTCCGCTCGCCGCGCAGGGAAAAAACGAAACGACGCCCTCCTAAATAGCGTCGCCTTTCCGGCTTCCGTTTATTGACCGGCCGAAGCGAGGCGGATGGGTTGAAACCCGGTCGGTTTCAAAAACCAGACGCGAGTTTGATCGGTTCCCCCCCCCCAAAACTGTACCGTCAACTCGGGTTCGGGGACGTATAAAAGGAATCGATCGCCGGCTGTTGAATGTCAATCACCCTGGAACTTCCCCGGGAGCAGTACTGGAAATGCGTTTGCAACCCGGATCGCGTGGAACAACGTTTCGATGAACTTGCAAAACGACGCCACGATTAGCCACAGTCCTCCTGACTCTTTCCCCTCCTTCTCTAAAATGGTGACGTCTTTTATTTAATTGGTTAAACCGGGGTATTACAGTTCTGGGAATATGCGGGTAGGTTCAATTCTTACCTCAGCCCCCCCCCCACCCCGCCACACACCCCTAAAAAAAACACTAATCTCCTGGATAAAATTGACCAAAATTGCCAAGTTTGCCTTCAATTACGCAGTCACTACACTTCGCATTTAGTTGGAATTCTCTTGTTTGGTTTGGATAATCTTAATCTTAAGGGGTTTACGTGTGTGTCAGACATCTGGCTCACCCAATTTTTGATTTTACCTCAAATATTGTGAAGCTCATGGAAACGTTTCAATGATGCGATAAGCCTTGTATCAACAAATTACATCTGTACAGGGCCTTTCACGTCGGGAGGACGTCCCAAGGCGCTGGACGGAGTACAGCATTTCAGACCCGAGCTGGGGTCAGGGGTGGGGAAGGGGAGGGGGGTTGACCGATGCCATGGTCGAAGAGGAGGGTCTTGAGCCAGGACTTGAAGGAGGCTAAGGAGGGGGCGAGGCCGAGTGACTGGGGGATGGAATTCCAGAGGTTGGGGGCAGAGTGGCTGAAGGCTCTCCCACCAATGGTGGGGCGGGTGGGTTGGGGAGCAGGACAGAGCCGGCTGAGCGGAGGGAACGGGCGGGTTGGTAGAAAGTTAGGAGGTCACAGAGGTAGGGTGGGGCGAGGCCATGGAGGGCTTTGTATGTGAGGACCAAGATCTTGAAGTGGATCCAATGGAGTTGAGTGAGAGTGGGGGAGATGGGGGTCACGGAGTTTGGTGCGGGAGAGGACACGGGCTGCAGAGTTCTGCATTATCTGCAGCCTGTGGAGGAAGGAGTTGGGGAGGCTGACAACTTGGATTTATATAGCGCCCTCCACGCCGGACGGCGTCTCAGAGCGCCTCACAGTAACGGATCCCGGGGCCGAGCCAGGGGGAGGGGGAGGGGGAGCAAGGTGACCAAAGGCGCGGTCGAAGAGAAAGGTCTTCAGCAGATATCTGAAAATAGGGAGGGAGCGAGGCGAAGGGAGTGAGGAAGGGAATTCCAGAGCCGCATAGTTGAGCCTGGAGGTGATGAAGGCATGAACAAGAGTTTCAGCGGCCTGAGAGGTGAGGTAATGGCGGAGACGGGCGATGTTACGGAGAATCAAATGCAAGGATTAATATTACAATTATGAAATAGCCTTTTTTTAAAAAAAAATGCTGCCCTGTGAACTATCAAGTTTCCATCTGTTCTTGGAAAGTGTTGTAAGTTTGGTAATATTTCCCCACTGCAGTGGAGAAGACCCACATGGTTAGGCTTTCACATTAACAGTAGGTTAATGTTTTTCGGAGTATTACCTCAATGTAAGTCTGTGTGCCAATATCCATGTGATCTTTCTGCACTAAATGTTGATTTTGCAACTTGTTTTTAACAATTTGGCCACCACTTATAATTATTTATATTTAACAACAAAAGGTCCTTTTAAATGAGATGTGAAACTGATGTCCCATCTGCCTGTTGGGGTGGAGGTTAAAAAAAAATCCCTCTGCACTATTTGAAAAGGAAAGAAAGTTTCTCCCAGTGTCCTGGCCATTAATCCTCTAAATAAAGTTGATCATTCACACCACGGCTGTTGGTGGAATGTGCGCAAGTTGCCACATTCACTGATAAATAAGTCAGTTCACTTTACAGAAATATTTTGACATGGTTAGGTGCGATATCAAATGCAAGTATTATTTTTGTCACAATACAATGTGCTATTTATTTTGCATAATAAGTGATATTTTCAGATATGATTGTCAGCAGTGATTCATGGCACCCAATTATTGGACAGTTACAAGTTAAACCTGAACCAGCAATGAGGGCGCTCGGCCCCATAAGTTACTGTGCCATCTTCTCAAACTGCAAATCAGGTTTGCACTCCCAGATTTAGGGAGTTTTACAGTGGGTGAACCAGTTTGACAAATGACAACAAGAACAAATTAAATGTATGCAGCTCCCTTCATGTCAGGCAGACAGCCCAAGGCGCTGGACATTGAGGGGTTTATGCCCAAGCTACAGGTTGAGGGCAAAGGGAGGGGTGGAGGAGGGAAGATGACCAAAGGCACGATCAAAAGGGAAGGTCTTGAGATTGCTCTTAAAGGAGGCAAGGGAGAGGGCGAGGCGGAGGAACTGCGGGACGGAGTTCCAGAGGGTGGGGGCAGAAAGATTAAGGTCCCGACCACTGATAGTGGAGCACTGCACCCCGGTGAGGTGGAGAGTGCATCCGTGAATGTTGATGCTGTCCAAAGATCTGAAAAAAACATTCAGTGATTTCAAGAAAACCATTCAGAAAGTTGTTCCACTAACAGAACAGCAACAAACAGTTCAGTATAATTATCTCGTGATAAATGTTTTATTTTATGTTGATAATTTGCAAAGGAAACTATCTTTTTTGTGAACAGCTACTTAACTGTTAGAAGGATTCTTTCAATAATATGGTCACGAATAAGAATATCTGCAGCAAAAGCAGTCTGCCATCTACTGTTCATTGGACATAAATCAACCACACGTCTTGAAGGTCAAGTAAAGCTGATCTACTTGGCAAATTGTTAAAAACGCCACAAAACCAGTTTGCTATAATTTAACTGTCAAATCAAAGGTCGTCAAAGTTGTCATCATCTTCAATAGCTGCTTGAGTCTAACATGCAGTTTATGACAGAGGGTTTAATCTTAGAGCTTAATAACTGGCAACAAAGAGTCACCAATTCCTTTATTGTGGAGGAATAAAATACTCACTGACACGAGAAAAGGGCAAATGTACAATTTATATGATCATTTGTCAATTGAGACAGTGTTTGCTTCCTACCAGATAAATGCCTGTTAAAAGGAGAGAGGCAGAATGAAATTACATGTTGCACATTTTGTTACAAACTATCGGTGAGGAATCTAGAACTGAAAGCAAATTTTTTTTTGCATGTTTCTCTCCACCATGTTTCTCTCCACCAGAGAAAAAATAATAATAAACAACATGCAAAATGGCAGCAAAGTCATTAATTCCTTCACAATTTATCATGGAAAAATAGGTTAATTTTCTATTTTACTTCATTGTAAGTGAACAAACACTCTCTCAATTGACAATGATCTAAAACTTGTATTTTTTGACCATGTTAAACATACTAATAGTGTACATCTTATCTATGCATTTAGGATTTTGAATACGTCAATAAGATGCCCTGAGTCCTTTCTTTAGTTTGAACATTCCTACCTTCTGTAGCCTCTCCTTATAACCTAATCCTCTCCTGAAATACACAGTTGTTACTGTGTAAATAGAAGGTTAATAGCAATTAGGAAATCCCACTTTAGAAAAGGATGCTGAGAAGTTTACGACGTTCTAAGAAAAAAAATAAGTGACTAAAAGCTGCCAGGGATATAAAGCATTGAAGAGAAAAATATATAAATGACACATTTTGAACAGATGGCAGAAATGTAATTTCCACGAGCTTCTGAGCCACCAACTGGAGGGATCGTAAACATATCAACAAAGAGTAGTGAAACTGAATAGAAAAATCCAGGCACTTGCCATATAAAAACATCTTTATTGGCAAAGTAGAACGGCACTGCATTCACAAAATATATTTGCGCACTTCAATTCTATTAAAATAAACTCTCGATTACAATAAATAAAATGCTCAGCATGAAGTTGTAACTCTTGTCTCTGGTCTTTTGGAGCACGTTGGTTATGTTAAAGTTTGCCACTTCCAAAATTAATTTTGACGAAATATAAATTTCTCACTTGAGTGGTATATTTCGCAGTACCAGTTGGATTACTTTTTGGGGGAGAAAATTAAAATACAATATTTTTACCTGGGGATAGAATTACCAATATAGAATTAAGACATGTAACACAGACAGTAGTTACAGCTTATTTAATATTTCATGTACTTTTAAGTATTAAATTAAGCAGCAATATATATCACCACTGCACAGGTTCATCGAATTCCCAATTTTAGTTTTGCTTGGTGCTAAAAACGGGCTCGACAGTGACTTTCCAAAGTTCCTGTAAAGAACACAAATAATTAACGTTGGTATTCAAATATTTTCACAGTTATTTTGAAAGCTGAATATCAACTCATCTGCTTTTTTTTATATAAAAACAATGGAATTAACTTAAAAAATTGTCTGCGTGAGTATTGTAAAGAAAATGACACTTGTGGCAATGCCTTTTGGGCAGAACACAAACCGATTTTTAAAAAAAGAATGCAACAATAAATTTAAAGTCATCTAGTTACGTGTTATTTGCGGGTTAGCAGTTAAAGTGTCCCACGTACGCGCCACAGTTTAGATGTTACCATAAGATGGCACTATTGTAACTCAAGTGATTGTAGCCGGCTTCCCTCCTCCCATCAAGTGCAACAATTATTTTTTTTCTTCAATGGTACTGTATTTGCTTCTCCTCATCTTTCAAAGTACAATTGCACAGAGGACTACCGAATAACCCCACTGCAATTTGGGTTTCAATATACATTTGAAGACACTATTAGAATACTGAATGCCAGAGCCCAGAATGGGGAAGAATATGAACACAATAGGTTTAATGGCACCATTCTCTGAAGTTTCATTTTATACTGTACTATTCAAAGTGAAATTGGTATCAATTCAACAAATCCGGTCTGTGGCATGCAATCACAATGCGAGTCACATTCTTTTTGAGTGGCTGGAGAAAGCATCTTAGGAAGTGCATTGTATCTTGAAGTAAAAAGTTTTGTTCTATGAACCAAATGAAAGGCCTGGAGCAAGAATTAAGAAGCTGAACGGTTGATTATTCCACAAGATATCACGTGACTACCTTTATACTGAAAAGCACACAAGGCTCTACTGACACTCTTACATTGCGTTGGTTGGGATAAGTAAATACATACACGTGGACAGGATGCCATCCAGTCAGGGCTAGAAGTGTACTACACTTTCAACAGAGTGCATCTCCACAAACAGCACGACCTACAACGAGTGACGTTATAGCAGGGGTCGAACGGTAATCAATTACAGTAAACTTCCTGATAACTCGCTCCGGGCTTAACGTCACTACTACTTAATGCTGTCAATATTCTGGCCACATTTCTGTATCTATTTATAAATATACCTAACTGGCCAGCCAGGATAACTCATCACTGAGCTCTTTACCCTTGGAGTGACGCATTCTCAGGAATTAACTATTTCACTCGACAGTTCAATAAGCTCTTACCAATTGTTCCACGCGTTCATAAAGAAGGAACTGTGGAAATGTTAGTTTGACAGGTTCCACAGTGAATTTAGTTTTGCCATCGCAGATGTTTTCCAAATCAGCCATGCACAATCGAAAGTGATCGTAAGCTTCACAAGTTATGTCCATCCTTCTCAGGGTGAAGTTTAGTCTGAAAGAAATTATGGTTCAACCTTTAAATAATTTATTTTTCTTACTATTGTAACAACAACAACAATTTGGATTTATATAGCGCCCTCCATGCTGGACGGCGTCTCAGAGTGCTTTACAGTTTTGTATCCCGGGGCCGAGCCAGGGGCCAGGGGGAGGAGCCAGGGGGAGGGGTGGGAAGGTGACCAAAGGCGCGGTCGAAAAGAAAGGTCCTCAGCAGAGACCTGAAAATGGGAAGGGAGGGAGCGAAACGAAGGGAGTGAGGAAGGCAGTTCCAGAGCCTCGGGGCACAGTGACTGAAGGCACGGCTGCCGAAGGTGGAGCGGAAGACTCGAGGGACAAGGAGGAGGCCAGACGCGGAGGAACGAAGGCAACGGGCACTGTTTTGAGGAGAAAGGAGGTCAGAGACGTAAGGGGGGTGCAGAGGAGTGCAGGGACTTGAATACGAGGGTGAGGATCTTGAAGTCGATCCTCTCTGGGATAGGCAGCCAGTGCATTCTGGCCAGGACTGGGGTGATCGGTGAGCGGAGTTTCGTGCAGGTGAGAATGCGGTCGGCAGAGTTCTGAATGAGTTGGATTTTATGGCTGGTAGTGGATGGGAGACTGGCGAGGAGGGCGTTGGAGTAGTTCAGTTGAGATAATAATATCATAATAATTTCTGGATTCATATAAGAACACAAACTGGACAGTTGTCAATATACATCCCTTGTTTTACTTAAAATACAAGCACGATGGAACAGAGGTTTGCTTCATGTAAAAAAAATCTTACTTTTTTTTAAACTCACCGTTTCTCTACAGAGAAATACATGGTACTTGGATTTCTCAAGTTGCTAACAATCCTATAGAGTGTCCGAAAAAGTGCATCTGTCAAGTCATCATCATAGAAAACTGTACAAATCAAGAGTGAGTCTAATTAATAAAATATAAGAAACAGGATTTTAAAATCTGTAGAATTACCAAAATGCTTAATGCTGCAACTGAAATGGCACATCTATCCCCAAGTATTTATTTGCTTCCAATGTAATACTACGCCTGAAACAAAAGAATCATGAATTCACTGCGGTCTCTTCATAATCACTGTGACAAATTTAGAACCAGAATACACAAAACTCTCGTGCTAAGAGAATGAGTATTGATAAAACAGTCTTTTTGACAAAGGTGGTACTTAGAAAATGAGTTATTCTTACTTTCCATTTACAATTTTACCACCACAGTACTATTACAATTTTCTGTCTGCAGGGGCTTAGTGACTTATTTCCAGTTATTAAAGTCATAACTTTTAGTAATTTGAACTAACTTATTACTGGATTGTTTAAATAGAAGATCAGAAAATTGCAGGTTTAGTAGCAATTGAACAACATTAAAATATGGTTACAACTCTAAAGTGAATTTAAGATACTATCTCCAAAGTAGCACATAATATCTTACAAAGCAGTCTAAATTGAAAAGATGCTTTTATCTTATCTGACAATGCTGGCAGGACAATACCATCAAGTAGGATTGCAACATTTATAACATTTTAATGATATTTCAAATGGAATAACAGTCCAGTTCTGTCAGGGCTGTCATTTAAAATGTGACCGTGAAAAGTAGATTGTAGCTTCACAAACCTATTCCAAACCAGTTACCCAGGCAACACTGTAATGATGCAATGACTAGTGCAATAAATTCACCATCAGACCTACTAGAAATGTTGGAGGGAGTTGCACGATAAAAAATATTTTAGACATAGCGTAGCCCACAAAAGTCTCGACAGTTTCAGATGTATGTATTTTGAAAAATACAAAAACTCATTGCTTCATTTTTTAAAAAGATAATTTAATTGTTAAAAACTATTCTTGTGTGTTGACATTTTAAAGCTGAACGCATAAAGGTCACCTACCATCAGCAGCCATCAGAAAATCTGTACGATCATAGAGCTCAGATATTTCTTCTTCAGACCAAGAATATGGACATTGAGTGTCTGAAATACAAGGATGAAGGTACTAGATAAAGCCTAGATACAACATTTCTACAGGTCTATATCCCTTAATCCCTTTAGTTTTTAAAAATTTAATGATCTCAGTCTTGAATATGTTCAAGGACTGACTGAGCATCCACAGTCTCGACAGTTTCAGATGTACGTATTTTGAAAAATACAAAAACTCCATAAATTCACTACCCTCTGGGGAGTGAAGAAATATTTTCTCAACTCAGTTCTAAAAGGCTGACCTTTAATCCTGAGACTATGACCCCTAGTTTTAGATTCTCCAACCAGGGGAAACAGTCTCACACTACCTTAAGAATCTTATAGGATTCTATAAGATCACCTCTAATTCTTCTGTATTCTAGAGAATATAGGCCTAGTCTACTCAACCGTTCCTCGTAGATCAACTCCCTCATCACAGGAACCAACCTAGTGAACCTACGTTGCACCCCCTCTAAGATGAGTATAATATTCTTTCTTAGATAATTAGTTTGATTTTGCATTCTCAGTGGTCTAATCAAAATGTTCACACCCACCACAATTTGTTTTTAAAAAAACACATTTAGGATCCTCAATAGGACCATGGAACCAGGTGTAGAATTTGCAATATTGAAAAATGTCCACAGAGGTAACATTAGAAGTATTGCAATAAAGCTGATCTCTTACCTGTGCACAATTCATCTCTCAACCAGTCTAGTTCTCGCACTTTAATATGACTTCCTGTTGTTAGAAGCAAAGTACAAAGATTTTATTTCAGATCAACTAGTGTTAGAAAATCAGAGCAGAGTGGATACACTGAGATGCTACAATTGTGAGTCATCGTCAGGGCATTATTCCCTTCTGAACCACCTCGTACAATCCAATCTAAATCAATTTACACTGATACAGTGGGGAGAAGAGGTCACACAGTATTTTCTCCTTCACACTTGTATGATTCTCTATCCACTAATCAAACCGAGAATCAACAACATTATTTCATCTGAGATACGTGAGCTTAGATTGGCCAGAAATCCCAAGCCCGAGACTCAAGGCCTCCTGGTTAAGTTTATTGGCATTGTACCCTTTCACAAGATCACAAGAGGTAATGCCATCCAACAATAAAACCTTCTATCTTCTTCCCAATACACCATCATGCGATTTCTTTCACGAGTCCCGTATCTTGTTGAGCAACTGAATTAAAAACTTCTTGCAGACTGCCTTGAACTAATTATTCAGTTAAACCCACAGGGAGATTGAACAATAATGTAAAATATAGAATGATTTAACATCATTCGGTGCTTCCTTCCAGACTATTTCTAATTGCCTGAATGCAGTTTTTACCCAAGTTATTTAATCTACAAAACAAAGAGAATAACCACAGTGAAAGTTCCAAAAGAAATGGTGAGGTTCCTCCTGGAAACCTCTCTCCTCCTCTCCCTCCATAGTCCAGCAAAATTTCAAGGTATGATTTCATTACAACTGACATTATTTAATAACATTATTAAATAAGGTCAGATGACGTTTCCGAGGACAACCGTGTAAGAGTCACCAGTGAAGGACATTTTGATCATTATTCTGAACAGGAGTTATTCAGATTAACTAATTTTGACTTGTAATCAAAAACCACAAGCCACATCAAAAAATAATTATGACACGCACGTAAAACTGACACATGCACTTGGATCCAGTTATAACACGGTAGCTTGGATCTATAAAATCAAGTTCCGTCTTATAAAAATAGCCATCTGTCAGCGATTCTCAGTTGTCAAGTCACTTTTATTTTACTAAACAGTACAGAACGCTGGAAGCCAGAGAGTCAGCTGGAACTGCTATTGAGCATTTCAAATGATTGCTAGGACACCAAAAGTTCTTGTGTGCCTGTGTGCTATGCACAGGAAGCTGGACAGTTAGTGCTGGAAGCCAGAAGTGTACCCTGCTTCCAGTGTATTGTGGGTCGATATAGATGGACTCACAGTACTTTGAAGCTTAGCTCCCACTGTATGTAAATAGCAATTCATTCTATCAGTCCTTTGGATTATTCAGAGTTTGGCAGAAGCACACCAAATTACTGAATTACAGTGAGTTATACAAAGACACTAATTTCTTTTTAAAAAAGAAAACTGATTAAGTTCCTCCAGAGCATTTCATTTTTAAATCTGAATAATTTCGGTTTACCTGTCGGCCCATAAATATGCTTGTTTGCATTGATATTCTGTTCACACATGTTCAGCAGATCATCTCCTACATCTGCAAACAGTAGACGAGAAGGACACATGGTTTTAAAGCGGATACTTGTGTACGTGATAAAAAATAAACCTTATATCATCTATACAGCAAATATATAGTTCTGCAATTATATTAGAAGTTATACCAAATACAAGGAATATTATGATAAGTTATCAACTATCTTTTTGTATCTAAATCTTTTTGGTCAGCCGGGTGTCTGACAGAGTCGAAACCTATCACCATCGGAATGGAATGCCAAACTTAGGTAGTTTTGTACTTGTGATCCCACTCATCAGGAATTGTGTTTAGAAAAAACTCATATATAAACCAAGCATTCACACTATTTCGTTTTGTGGTGTATAAGGAAATCATGTTTTGCACTTCAAACCAGTCCATAAACGTAACTATCAGCGAGAAGATTTATTGTGCACAACTTTTCACGCTTTTTCAATTTCCCCCACCCCAAGACGTGTTTTGGGGCACTCCTTTTCCTTTCCTGGGAGGGTTACAGCTCCTGGGTGTTCTTCAATACTTCACCTAAATGGCCATCACTGTTCATGTCTAAGTCATGTCATGTTTACTCTGGAACACTCTTCCTCTATCCCTCCGTCTTGCTCCTTCCTACCCCCACCTTCAGGTCGTGCCTGGAAGACCTTCCTATTTGACCTTGTCTACTGTCACCTCCCACTCCCCACTGGCTCAGCGTTGTGCTCTGCCGCTGACGAGCACTTTGGGTCACTACATAAATGCAAGTTGTTATTGTTGTTTTGGGAAGCAAGTAATTTGACTTAAGGGGAGTTAACAGCATAAAATAATCCAATCCTGTCTTAATCGAAGTGCACACACACACACCTACAGCAGGGGTTGCTGCTCAGCAACAAAATGTTGGAACCCCAGCTGATTTTCCCCCTTTCTAAACAGAAATATCGACATCATTAAAGGCATCACTACTGCTGCTGTCTCAGCACAAACTGGGCATCAAGCCGGGCTTTGTCCGACTCAGCTTCTCGCTGGATAAACTTCCTTTGTTGTTATGCTGTTTCAAATCTAAATGATTAGTGAGGTAATTGGGATTCGATTCACCTAAATATTGCAACCTAAATTTTGATGTTATTTTTTGTTGCAGAAAAACAAAATTTACGTTTTGTGTATAAATGTGGAGTACAATTTCACGAATGCAAATCTAAACCTGAATCTTTGCACACAGGACTGATCTTCGTCAATCAATATGGGATCATTCCCTCCGACTGTATTCTCTTACCTGTACAATAAACAGACTTAGCAACGGTTGCCATGACAATACTCGTCATTCCTGTGCCTGCTCCCAACTCCAGCACTGTGCAGTTTCTGAATAAGTAACTGTTATGCAAAACGTAATCAGCAAGAAGAAAAGCTCCACGCCATACCTGCAGCCAGGAAGAATGCTGGTTTAAAAAAAGGTTGCACGTTTGTCTATACAGAATTTGTGTAATAATACTAATAATCCTTGCATTCGATATAGCGCCTTATCACGTCATTGAGACGTCGCAAAGCGCTTCACAGAATATACGCCCACAAATATACAGTCAATTAACTTTACAGTCTGTTCTGTGAAGTGCTTTGAGATGTCTAGAAGACGTGAAAAGCGCTAATATCAAATGTAAGGATTATTATTATTGTTATGCTGCAGTGAACTAACTGTGTATTGTGTGGGCGAAACGCAGCAGCCAATTGCGCACAGCAGATATAATGTGCATTACCTGCTTTCCAGCATCCTCTAGTGAAGTGGCCATAGTGTGTTCTACACAAAGGTAAAAACATAATACTGTAGTTTGTATTTACAAACAGCTCAAATGTCAAATTGTTATCAAACAAACTCCATAATCTCCTGAACAGCACCGAAGAGATTCAGGGATTCAAACACTCGTCTCAGTTTTAACAACATAACCACAATCCACAAAATCTGTAAACCTTTAATCCTCTTTCCTGCATTAATTTGATTGCATTTTGATTGTAATATGATCTCCTGTTTTCACTTTCGGGCCAAAAATCAACAATAAACATTTTATAGGAAGAAAAATTAATTTGTGGGTAACAAACCAATATTGGTTCATGAAAGACGTCACTTCCATTACTTGACTTGGATCATTGGAATTGTTTTGAAGCGATTTATAGTAGTTGTGTATTTCATTTGAAATATCTGTACGAATAAATCAGAAGGGTTCAGAAAAAGGGTTTTCTTTAAACCATACTGCTGTTATTTCCCCTAAATATCTACCACGATAATTCAAGATACACAAATCATTATCTTAAAACGATATCCCTACATTGTGGGGGTAGTTATTGAATGAATGTACAATTCATTACCCAAATAATGGAAACGACTTCTTTCAGGAAACAATATTGGTTTGTTACTTGCAGGCTCCGTCTGAATTTGTTCCAATTTGAAGTCAATTTGTTCTATATTTTAATTACTCACAAAGTGCATCCTTGCATTTTACCAACGTACCTATTTTGATCTCATTGCAGCTACTACTGCACTCCTCATTCTCTTCGTAGACATCCTCCTCTCCTTTACTCAGGATTGTGGGATGCACTTTATCTCTGCGTGTATTTTGTCCGCGAGAGCTGAGAATGTGCGTAGGTGGCGGTCTTCTAGCAAGGTCTAGATCTCCATCCTCGTCGAGCAAACGTTCAATTTGTGGAGTTTCTTTTTCCTCTCCTTCATCTTTCCTCTCGTGAACCACTTCAGTGCTGCAACCGGTCTGGCAGGTAAAAGCATCTTCTATTTCAGCAAGTACGTGTTTTTCTTCTTTCAAGTGTTCCGAACCATCCTTGTCACATCCATTTACATCCAGTATAAATTTGAACTTTGACAGGAAAACTGTAGAATTAAATTATAAAGGCTGTTGTAGTGTGGCGTGGTTAATATGCAGCATGCTACCGCTTCCAGATTAGTAATTTATGTTGTAACATCAGTAATGCAACAGTTAATAAACTGTTAATGAAAATGTAATTATATTATTAAGTCTCACAGCACATCATGAACAACTCTCTCTCTTTCTTCCTCAAACGTTAATGATTTGTTTTGAAACCAATGTTTGACATTTCCTTTAAGATTACTGAGTGGAAGAAATGCAGCTGATTTACATAAAATGCACATTTCTATGAATTGCATTCAACACCATGAAACACTGCTGAGTTCGACAATCTGCCAAAAAACAGCCATTATTACTTAGCCGTGCAGTACACAAAAAGCTTTTGTAGCATTTATATTCATCCTATGCAGGATCTAGGACTATTCTTTGCGAAGTTTAGCTCCATTGAACATCTCAACAAAAACAAAATGACATTTCTAAAGCACCTTTCACATCTGGAGAATGTCCCAAGGTGCTGGGACGTACAAGCTCGAAGTTCAATGGCAAAAATATATCCAACTTTGAAGTCCTTGTAGAGGTGTCATTTTTGCTCTTCAACGTTACCAATTGGACCATTCACAAACAGATAATAATAATCCTTGCAATTCGATAAAGTGCCTTATCACATCTTCAGGATGTCTCAGAGCGCTTCACAGAATATACTGTAAAGTGAATTGACTGTTGATTTTGAGGGCGAAATGATAGAAAAAAAAGTTCCCCCACTTGCTCCCATAAAAGTGCATTCTATAATATTTACAACCTTGAAGATTTTAAAGTAGACTATTTAAAACATCACAAGAAAGGTTCGGATGAAGATAGCTGTTTGGTCTAACTGATCAGAATTATATCTGTCTTCCCCTTACACAAAACTGTCTCTGAAATGATTCCTGTTTTTTGGCCTCAAATACCGTTCCAGGTGTCATTTTAATTTTTTTTTTAAAAAAAACTTCTTGCTTCAGTTAAATTGTTAAACGAGCAGAACGTTAATCCCATTAATATCAACACACACACACACCCCGATTCATTTTTTGGGGCGGTCAGCTGGGTGTCTGACACACGCGGAAACCCATCACCCATGCTTAAGAGTAGCCAAACCAAACTGAGAATTGAAAGATACTTTTATCCCGTGTTCTCACACAGCACCTGGTTGTCCTACCGCATTCAGTCTCACCATCAGGTGTCTACAGTTTGGTGTGAACAAATGAACGTCAGAAAGTACTGTGTCACTCGTGAAAATGATGGAATCCATAAAATTCTCTCTGCCTCAGCCAGCATGGCAGTGGGAAAACAGCAGATCAGCACCTGCCAACAAAATGACAATGATCATCCTTGCGTTCGATATAATGCTTCATCACATCAAAGCAGCCGTCTCAAAGTGCTTCACAGGACTTTACCCTGAAATGTAGTGATTGTATTTGGAGGCAGATGAAGCTGCTGATTTGCGTACAGCAATATTCCAAACAGCTATGGAGTAAGTGAACAATTTTATTGGGGGGGGGGGATTGTTGCCAGGAAAGCGGGAGAGAGAACCTCCCTTCTCTTTTCAAATAGTGCATGGGATCTTTAACGTCCACCTGAACACGCACCTCAGTTTAACGTTTAACGTGTCATCCAAAGGACGGCACCTCAACTAATGCAGCACAACACCAGCACTGCAATGCAGTGTCAGCTGACTGTATGGGTTCCTTCCTTACTGTGTGTGTGTGTGTGTGTGTGGGGGGGCTGTGTGTGTGGGGGGGGGGGGCTGTGTGTGTGTGTGGGGGGGGGGGGCTGTGTGTGTGGGGGGGGGGGGCTGTGTGTGTGGGGGGGGGGCTGTGTGTGTGGGGGGCTGTGTGTGTGGGGGGGGCTGTGTATGGGGGGGGCTGTGTGTGGTGGGGGGGCTGTGTGTGTGGGGGGGGGGGCTGTGTGTGGTGTGTGTGTGGGGGGGCGGTGTGTGTGTGCGGGGGGGGGGGGCTGTGTGTGTGTGTGTGTGTGTGGGGGGGGGCTGTGTGTGGGGGGGGGGGGCTGTGTGTGGGGGGGGGCTGTGTGTGTGGGGGGGGGGGGGGGTGTGTGTGTGGGGGGGGGCTGTGTGTGGGGGGGGCTGTGTGTGTGTGTGGGGGGGGGCTGTGTGTGGGGGGGGGGCTGTGTGTGGGGGGGGCTGTGTGTGTGTGGGGGGGGGCTGTGTGTGTGGCTGTGTGTGGGGGGGCTGTGTGTGTGTGTGGTGGGGGGGGGGGCTGTGTGTGTGTGGGGGGGCGTGTGTGTGTGGGGGGGGGGGCGGTGTGGGGCTGTGTTGTGGGGGGCTGTGTGTGTGGGGGGGGGGCTGTGTGTGTGGGGGGGGGGGCTGTGTGTGTGGGGGGGGGGTGTGTGCGGTGCGTGTGGTGTGGGGGGGGGGGCGTGGTGTGTGTGTGGGGGGGGGTGGCGTGTGTGTGGGGGGGCGGGGTGTGTGTGGGGGGGGCGGTGTGTGTGTGTGGGGGGGGGGGCGTGTGTGTGGGGTGTGTGTGGGGGGGCTGTGTGTGTGTGGGGGGGGGCTGTGCTGTGTGGTGGGGGGTGTGTTGGGGGGCTGTGTGTGTGTGGGGGGGCGGGGTGTGTGTGTGGGTGGGGGGGCTTTGTCTGTGTGTGTGTGTGTGGGGGGGGGCGGGTGGGGGCTGTGTGTGGGGGGGCGTGTGTGTGGGGGGTGTGTGTGTGGGGCGGGGTGTGTGTGGGGTGGGGGTGGTGGTGTGTGTGGGGGGGGCTGTGTGTGTGGTGGGGCTGTGTGGGGGGGGGCTGTGTGTGTGTGTGGGGGGGGCGGTGTGTGTGTGTGGGGGGCGGATGTGTGTGGTGTGGTGGGGGGGGGCGGGCTGTGGTGTGTGTGGGGGCGGTGTGTGGGGGGGCGGTGTGTGTGTGGTGGGGGGGCTGTGTGTGTGTGGGGGGGGGCTGTGGTGTGTGGGGGGGGGGCTGTGTGTATGTGGGGGGGTGTGTGTGGGGGGGGGGCGGTGTGTGTGTGGGGGGGGTGGGGCGGTGTGTGTGTGTGGGGGGGGGGCGGTGTGTGTGTGGGGGGGGGGGCGGGTGTGTGCTGTGGGTGGGCGGGGGGGGCGGGTGTGTGTGTGGGGGGGGGCTGTGTGTGTGTGTGGTGTGGGGCGGTGTGTGTGTGGGGGGGGCTGTTGTTGTGGGGGGGGCTGTGTGTGTGGGGGGGGCTGTGTGTGTGGGGGGGGGCTGTGTGTGGTGGGGGGCTGTGTGTG